GTCTGCGCGCGCGCGTATATGCGCACATACACACACGCGCACGCACGCACGCACGCACGCACACACAAAAGAAGTATAAATCTGACATGCAACCTCCACATGGTACATCTTGAGTAATACTAATGCCGGCTGTAATGCAATTTTAAATCTTGCAACTCGAAAAATACCTAACAAAAAACATTTAATTATATATATATATATATTATACTTTTGGAAAGCCCTCGAGATAATCTACAAGAATATATAATGAAAAATAGGGGGTTCTATTTAAGAAATTTAAGATGACCTTCACGTGACCTTGACAACGCTACTCAAGGTAATAATAATATTGCCATGTAATTCGCCTTATAAAACCCTATTAACTTTGTATGAAACATTTTTTTTTAAATGCGTTTTTTTTCGAAAAATTAAGGGGTTTCGATACTTTTCGTATGCCCTGTATATACAGGATGATATAATAAAAAATTTGAGTTTCCATTTAAGGAAAGTAATGCTCAATGAATATTGCGAAAGTGGCGTCATCTGTAAACAAACTGATATAATTATTTGACGTCCCCCATGAAACCATATAACTTTTGTCTGAAATATTTTTCCGTATCTTTCATATTTTTTTAGATATTTGCCTGGGGCATTAAAATGAGACATCTTGTACACTCTATATATAGGATGTCCAGCAATTAGCTGCCAACCCGAAGTGTAAATCACCCGAAGTGATTGGATTAAGACAAACATAAAAGTCCGATACCGTTTTGCGAGATTCACATTAATTATCGCATTAATTACAGAAATCTGACGAATGAGCGCGCTGAGATGGATGATTAGAGAAGCGTCGCAGCCGCTCGGGTTATAACGCAGTCCAGTCGAGTCCAAACTGTTAGCGGCGTGAGGTGAAACGAAGTAGATGCGGCGAAATAAAACAACGAATAGCGGCACGTTATCCTTCCCCTCGCCGCGCACCGGCAATAGTTTCAGGATCAACTGGACCAATTTGTGGCAGCTGCAACGCTTCTCCAATCATCTACGTCGGCGCACTCTCACTCCTCAGATTTCTGTCTTTAATAACTCGATAATTATTGTGAATCTCGCAAAACGGAGCAAAATGGAACTTTTATGTTTGTCTTAACCCAATCTACCTTTACACTTCGAATTGGCAACTAATTACCGGACTGTATATATATTGTTATATTTATTAGAAAAAAAGATAATAATAATAATAGAAAAAAACAAAACATTTTAATTCCTCTCGTTTTTCAATTATATTCATGTTTGTGGTTCTTTTTCTCTTTCTCGTAATCATATCTATTTCATATCATGTCTGTTTAATATTTTGTCTATTTTGGTGAATGCTCGAGCTTTCTTATATACGTTTGTCATTAATAAAATTGTAAATACTATATTAATAAAAAATATTGACTATTTTCATGAATTTTATTCCCGTAAATCTAGAGATATCATATTTTCACTTTGTATACAGACAATCGCGTATATTTACTCACATGAAATAAAACAGTGATTGATGACAAAAATTAATGGAAACAATATATTTTTGTATTTTCAGTCTAATACTTTTGAGTTTAAAATTCATGCCGTATATATCGTGAATTTATTTCTTACATTTTATGAAGATTTTACTTTATTTTTTCAAAGAAAAGACTTCTGAAAGTTTTCTTCATGTCTTGAAACCCTTTCTCTCCTTGAATGAGTAGAATAGAATGTTCACAAAATGTTGGAAATAAATTTATAAGTTAAATATAATTAATCTCCTGAATTTAAGCCTTTGTTAATAATGTCTTTACTCGAAACTGATTTCATGTAAGATTCTTGAATTTTAATTTATAATTAATTTTAATTTTTTCAGTTGAATTATACAGGATGTTTGAAAGCTTATAATGCAGACGAAAGTTGGAGATAGATTGGGTGTAGCCGAGAAGAAAAGTCATATACCATAATATCAAATTGGCAATAGTTATCGAGTTATTAATTGAAACATGTAAGCCAATGAGCGCGTAGAGAGCGCTGGGCGGTGAGCACGTAGACATTTGATATAGGCGGAGTCAACAATAGGTGAACACGCGCGGCGAGGGGTAACTGTAAGCGACAAGAGGCGAGCACGCGCGACGAGGAGTGAGCGAGTGCGAACGACGAGCCAACGAGCGCAAGCGACAAAAAGCGGCCGCCCAGCGCTCTCTACGCACTTATTGGCTCACATGTTTCAATTAATAACTTGATAACTATTGCCAATTTGATATTATGGTACATGACTTTTCTTCTCGACTATACCTAATCTATCTTCAACTTTCGTCTGTATGATAAGCTTTCAAACACCCTGTATAATATTACATCTGCAATCTCAATTCAACTAAAAAAGAATTTTAATTTAACTTTATATTCAAATATATCTCATTTAAAACTTGTTCACCTGAGATATTGAGATCTGAATGTAGAAACAGACTTGAGTTTTTTATTTGAATCTATTTGAATATTATATAATATATGCGACATTACTTTTACATTATATACGAGGGTTGTATGATAAGTACCCGTGTTTAATGACAGATAGTACTATTGATGCAAAATCTATCGTGTAACGTGTATCGTATATTATCGTATAACGTCATTTTTCGAACGATGCCTGTCAAAATTTCAGACAAATTTATCAAGTAGTTTTGTTTTGATAACTGTTTAAATTGGACATGTTCGTGTTTGTTTACAACCATGGGAAGAGAGCAAATATCGGTTAATGATTCAATTCCTTTTTTTGGATGGGAAGACTTGTGAGAAAATCAAAGTGAAGTTGCGTGTCGTTTATAAGGACCGTGTACCTTCGATGATTACCACCAAATATTGGTTTAATGAATTCAAACGTGCCCGAACATTCGTTTTTAATTAAAAGTGTCCAGATCGTCCGAAGTGACTACGGAAGATATGGTCAACAAAATTCATGACATCGTGTCAACAGACTGCCAGGTGAAAATCAGAAAGATTACTGACATTGTAAACATCTCAATTGAATGCGTATAAAATATCCTACACAAAAAATTGAGCATGAGAAAGCTATCGGCGAGATGAGTGCCGCGTTTGCTCACAATGGAGCAAAAACGGAATCGCATGACAACCCTGCAGCCCTTTGGACATGTTTAAGCGCAATCTGAAAGAGTTTCTGCGACGTTTTGTGACTGTTGACGAAACATGAATCCATCACTACACGTCAGAAATGAAAGAACAGTCAAAACAGTGGACTTCACCCAGCGAACCTGCTCCAAAAAAAGCGAAAACGATTCCGTCGGCCGGAAAGATCATAGTCACTGTTTTTTGGGATTCGCGAGGCATTATATTTTCACCGACTATTTAGTCGGTGAAGATGCCTTTGCATTTGGAGAAGGGAAGGGGGCAACCACGGGGCAGTACTATGCTGATATATTGGGCCGATTTGGTGCTGAATTGATGAAAAAATGGCCCTATTTGGCGAAGAAAAAAATGCTCTTTCACCATGACAACGCACCAGTTCACTCGTCCGCAATCGCCACAACAAAACTGTTCAAACTACGTTACGAAATGCCGCTTCATTCACCCTATTCTCCAGATTTGGCCCCATACAATTTCTTTTTGTTTCCAAACATGAAAAAATGGCTTGACGAAAAGCGGTTCACATCAAACGAGGAAGTCGCCGAAACAAAGGCCTATTTTGTAGAAATCGACAAATCATATTTTTTGGATGGCTTAAAAAAGTTGGAATATCGCTGGACTAAGTGTATCGAACTGAAAGGAGACACTATATTGAGAAATAAATAAAAAACATTTTTTTTAAATGCATTTCCTTCCCTAACACGGGTAATTATCATACATCCTTCATATGCGACTTGTATTGTAGTGATTCACCTAAAAACTCACATATAATTCTACATCCAAATGTATTTCATTTGAAACCAATTTCAAGTTATAATACGGATTATTAATACGGATTTTAAAGATTTCAGTTTCACTGTTAAATCACCACAATAAATATAATGTCACAAATATGATTTAAATCACAGAAACTCTGATATAACTTGAAATTCTGAATATATGAAATAAATTATCTAAATCTATTTAAATATATTAAATAAATTATTTAAATATATTTTAGATATATTCTAAAGTAAGATATCTTTTTATAAGAGTGTCCCAAAAGTAACGGACCACACTAATAACTATTCAGTATTGAAGTTTCAAGGAAAATGATCTAAATAAAAGTTATAGGGGCTTAAGTGAGCTACCTTATGATGACCTTGTCTTTGACCTTAACCTCTATTTTCAAGGTCATTTGAAGGTCAACTTGCGTTTTTAAATAGGAACCCTTATTTTTCATTATACTGTTTTTTTCTACTAATTAATTTGAACAACTTTTGTCTAACACGTTTTTTTATTTGTCTAATATTTTTTTAGACATTTGGAGAAAACTTGATAACTTTTTCAATATTTAACTTACGATATCTCGCTAACTATTTGTCAGAAGAAAAAGTGGTATTAGACTTTCTTGCTTTATTTAGTCTCAAGAATATATTATTACAATAGCGCCCTGATTTTTGTTAATTTGATGATTTTGAAATTTCCAAAAGTCAGTAAGTTAACAAAAGTCAGGGCGCTATTGTAACAATATACTCTCGAGACTAAATAAAGCAAGAAAGTTTAGTACCACTTTTTCGACAAATAGTTAGCGAGATATCGTAAGTTAAATATTGAAAAAGTTATCAAGTTTTACCCAAATATCTAAAAAAATATTAGACAAATAAAAAAATGTTTTAGACAAAAGTTGTTCAAATTAACTAGTAGAAAAAAACAGTGTAATAAAAAATAAGGATTCCTATTTAAAAAACGCAAGTTGATCTTCAAATGACCTTGAAAATAGAGGTCAAGGTCAAAGTCAAGGTCATCATAAAATAGCTCACTTAAATCCTTACCACTTTTATTTAGATCATTTTCCTTGAAACTTCAATACTGAAGAGTTATTAGGATGGTCTGTTACTTTTGAGACACCCTGTATGTCTCTGAGACGTCTTTTAGACATTTACGCTGTCTGGATTCATGCGTCGCGCGGATTCATACATTGTACGATCTGTTTTGTTCTAAAAATATAACTCGAAGAAGATCTAAACGTGCGGAGGCACATATATTGGGTAATGTTCTTCCTCCTCGGGAAACACCTGATGACTCCTGTCGTGCCAGGCTTCCGGAGAGTGATATAGTCCATAATTAATGCCGCTGGTCGCGATTTTCTTCAGACCTTGTATGCTGGATAGTATGAGGGCCATTTTGGCGAGAATCAAGGCCTTGCCGCCCAGCACAGCGAGAAACTGAAAGCCCATCGGTATCAAAATCGAGCCCATAAACAGCAAGCCCAACATCATCATCGGCAGAAATTGATGCCGGCGGCGATTTCGACGTCTTCGACCTGAAATGCGAACTCACGCTATTTAACATTCTCTCGATAATATTTTATTCACTCGTTTTTAATTGTCGATATTAATTTCGAATTTTGAGTTTTCTTTTATTTTTGAACAGTCCTAATTCTTGATACACGAAGAGAATTTTATAGTAAAAATTGCTAAAAAATTTTGTAACTGTGGAACATGTTAACGTCCTGCCTTAATTTTTTATTCCTCAGTTTTATGTATGTTATTTATATTAGAAAATTAAATTTATATTTAGAAAATATATATTTTAGAAAATATATGTTTTAGAAACTGAACTTTGGAACCAAAAATTTGTCCTATTGCAAAATTTATTTAGTAAAATGTAATAAATAAATTTTATCATATATAAAATTGATATATAATTTATTATATGAAAAATAATAAAAATTTCCTTAGCAAAATAAATTCTACAGACAGTTTGTTCCTGCAATAATAGAAAACACGGCAAAATTTAAAAAACTTATATATGCAAAGAAATAATATAATATTTCTATATAAAAATCAATATTTTATAAGATTTATTCTTTTTTAGAAGTTTTAAAAAATGAAGAGGAAATTTATCTTCTCTTATTTATTATTTGTTTGTAAAAATCGAAAAAGAATAAAACTTATACTTTGTTTTGCATTTAGCATATCGTATATTGCATCGCAGGTTAAAGAGGCACGTAGAGACTGCAAATTGATAATACTCTTCTGGATAGAACTATTATCAAATTTATATTATAATTTACCTTGAACAGCGTTACTATCCAAATCCGGCTCAGATATATTATTAGTAGCTGACTCTGTATTAAACATGTGATCGATGTCAACTTTGAAGGCATGAGTCCGCAGAACGTGCGTCAATCGCTTCCAGATTATTATTGACCAGCTAGTGTCGTCAACTGATCCATCGGAAGGATTGCTTTTGCTAAAAATGAATTCTAAAGTCTAGTTTCAAGAAGTTTATTCCTAAAGTAATTTTTACATATTAACGCAATGAAAGGAAAGAAATATTGGGTGAGTGCAAAAGTTCGTGCGGAGTTTCAATAGATGGAGTTATAAGCGTCGTAAAGTGTTGTCATTAATACTTCCATCTACATATTATATAACGTTGGAAAGGTGACGTCTTCAGCTGCTATTAAAAAAAAATCATTTGTTTTCATACAAACTGCTTCGAGAAATATCACTTTAAAAATGAGTATCGATAAGGTGCATTTACGGCATGTTATGCTTTACGAGTTTCGGAAGGGAATAAACGTTGCCGCAGCCGTAAAAAACATTCAGGATGTTTATCAGGATGAAGCACCAGCTAAACGAACTGTGGAAAAATGGTTTGCTAAATTTCGGCGCGGAGAATTTAACCTTGAAGACGAGCCACGCTCTGGTCGACCTTCTGACATTGATGACGATATTTTGCGTACTTTAGTGCTCAACAATCCGCGAATTTCAACAGAAGAAGTTGCTACAGCACTAAACGTTGACCGATCAACCGCTTTTTGGCGTTTAAAAAAGATGGGATTCGATTTGAAGCTCGATATATAGGTGCCCCATTTGCTGACCGAGAAGAACAAAATCAAGCGAATTTCTGCAGCCGTTTCTTTACTCGGGCGGCTCAATAACGAGTCGTTTTTGGATCGACTAGTGACGGGCGATGAGAAATGGGTCCTCTACAACAATGTTCAGCGCAAACGGACATGGAAACAATCAGGTGAGCATGGTGACGCAATGCCAAAGGCCAGTTTGCACCCGATGAAGGTGATGCTCTCTGTTTGGTGGGATTGCAAGGGCATAATCTATTTCGAGCTTCTCCCCGCTGGCGAAACGATTGATTCGGACAAGTACTGTCGCCAATTAACCAATCTGAATCGAGAAATAAAAGAGAAACGTCCGATTTTGTCAAATCGCAAGGGAGTCGTCTTTCATCACGACAACGCCAGACCACACGTTTCGAAAAAGACGCTACGCAAACTGAAGAGCCTGAAATGGGATGTCTTAACGCATCCACCGTATTCTCCTGATATCGCACCATTTGACTATCACTTGTTCCGGTCATTGTAAAATTATTTAAATGGAAGAAACTTTGACTCTTTGGAGGCCTTAAAAAACGGCGTCTCTTCGTTCTTCGAATCTAAACCGCGCAGTTTTTATGATCGAGGCATCCGTATGCTGCCAGAACGTTGGGAAAAGATTATAGAAAACGATGGAGAATATATCATTGATTGAATAAAGATTTTTGTTTGCCTAATCACTGTGTGACTTTTACTCACAAACTCCGCACGAACTTTTGCACTCACCCAATATAAGAGTTGAAAAATATTTATTTATTAGGTATATTAATAATATTGTTGTGTCCGAGCCACAAGGTTTGTGACAGCGTCCGTTGTCCGTGAACCTTAGGCATCTGATTTTGACAACTGAACAAAGATTGTCTGGACGACGGAAAATCGATAAGAAGAAAATAACAACAGTTGACAGAAAGTCTCTGACCAGCTGTCATCGAGGACCGACGCGAGAATTGAGAATTATCAAATAGAGAATTATTCTTGTTTAAAGCTTGAGTGAGCTGCGCTGTAAATAGTAAAGCTTGTTATTCTTACGCGAGTGTTTTCATTTACCTGAGTGCAAGCGCGAGTGCGAGTGCGAGTGTTTTCATTTACCTGAGTGCAAGCGCGAGTGCGAGAGTGAGCGCAACATTTTGGGGGCTCGTCCGGGATCGAATCACAGATCATTCGGGATAAGAAACAGCATCGTTCGGCGAAAAGGCGAGCAAGAAAGGAAATTATGATGCATTCGCCAAGAGTAACTCGACGCCAGGCTTCGATGGCAGCATCAAGTTTGATAACGACGGTAGCCGAATCAGGGAGCCAAAACAGAGGCAGGAGCTTTGCAAACACTTCTGCGAGAGGTACAACAGCTTCGCGAGGAGCAAGAACAGGAGCGGCAGGAGCTTCTTGAATTGCGGCGTTGGCGGAGGACAGAAGAGCGGGGACAACGGGAAAGCTTCACAGCTAAGTCACTCTAGAAATGTTTCCTTAACCGAAATAAAATTAAAGCCTGACATCTATGACGGAACGGTTTCGTTGCGCGATTTTATCAAATTATTTGAATTGACAGCACAAGCTAACAAGAGAGATATTTAGTTTACCAACATTATTTTTAAATAAAGAGCGTTTACTCGTTCAAGAGTGTATGTTGTTTTATTTCAAGATAAAGATGGCCCATTCTCTTCTGATTCCGTCGTTTCCATCGTCAATTTTCCATCGATTATTCAAGAAGGCTGCCTCCCCCACGGTTTTTGACCGTGGTTTTTCCATGGGGCTTTGGGCGAATGCCGAGGCAGGGACTCGGGGTGTTCTATAAAAGGACGTTGGGTCCACGGTAAACCCCCTCCCTGTCCGAAGAGGAGCCAAGGAGGAAACGGACGATGAAGCGGAACAACAAGCGGATCGTTTTAGAAAGGTCCTGGAGACTGATCACCTCCTAAAGAACGGGGATAGAGATGATGTTCTGAAGGCGAAGAGTCAAGATCCTCAGAATCCTTGATTGAGATCAGGAATTCATGGAGTCCGGTAACTTGTAGCAGCAGCTCAGGGTAGGACAAGAGTCATGAAGATCTCTGGAGTCAGGGAAGAGAATGACCTTGCCTAAGAGAATTGTCGAGACGACAATTTTTCGAAGAGGGCTCGAAGAGGGCGAGCGCAAGCAACAAGAGGCGAGCGAGCGCGACGAAGAGCGAGCGAGCGCGAACGACGAGGAGCGAGCGAGCTATAAGGAAAAAGCTATAAAGAAAAAGCTCGCTCGCTCCTCGTCGCGCGCGACCGCCTCTTGTCGCTTACGTTGCCCCTCGCCGCGCGCGCTTGCCTATCGCCACTCGCTGACTCCGCCTGTATCAAATGTCTACGTGCTTACTGCGGCCGCCTTCCGCTCTCTACGCGCTCGTTGGCTCACATGTTTTAATTAATAACTCGGTAACTATTGCCAATTTGACATTATGGTACATGACTTTTCTTCTCGGCTACACCCAATCTATCTCCAACTTTCGTCTGCATGATCAGCTATCAAACACCCTGTATATGTATTAATATAAGTAAATATGTCATTAATACGTAAATAAATATTTATAAACATATGTTTTATTTTTGAGATATTTTGTTCCTCAGTGTAAACAATCTTTATAATCATGTACCGATAATACGTATCTGATAATATTTTTATGATTTCTATCATTTCTAAATTCATATTTTAAAATTAAGTATATCTTTTTAATTCCCCATAATTATAACACACCAACTTCATAGAGGTGTAGAAGGACGCGTCAAAGCGCCAAGACGCCATCGCGACAGTCAGCGCGAGACGCGTTCTCACTTAGTCTTGATGCAGCTCGCCACAGAGCGTCTATAGGCCGTGATGGGCGTGACAAACGCCAAACTTTACGCGGTTATTACCAAAAAACTATGTGAGATACCGCTAAATGAAAAAAGACTTTCGTTCCTTTCGCTTAACTCTACGCTCCTATGGAGTTGGTGTGTTACAATTATGGGATACCTTGTATAAAATATACAAGGTGTCTCAGAACTTTGGTACACGGCCCCGTAGGGATATAGAGCTAAGTGAGAAGAACAAAAAGTCCTCTGCCATAATGTGAACATCGTAATAGCTTTTTAAATATAACAGCGCAAAATTAGGCGTTTTCCACGTCCAGCACGGCCTATAGACGCTCCACGGCAAGCTGCGTAGGGGCTGAGCGATAACGCGGCTCGCGCTGACCGTCGCACGGCGTCAAAGCGCCAAGACGCCATCTTGATAGCGCTTAGCCCCTACGCACACAGCTTGCCGCGGAGCGTCTATAGGCCGCGATGGGCGTGGAAAACGCCAAACTTTATGCGGTTATTACTAAAAAACTATTACGATTTTCACATTATAGTACAGGACTTTTTTATTCCTCTCACTTAGCTCTATGTCCCTACGGAACCAGTGTCCCAAAATTCTGAGACACCCTGAATAAGGAAATTAGGACTGAAAGGACATATTTCGCATGTCAAGAATAATGCTCCAGCTCCTCTATAATCAGTTTCTTACGAATAATAACCATAATACAATATGAAACCTTTCTCTAGAAAATTCAATGATCAAAGATTCAATGAACGCTTATACAGAGTGTTCGGTAACATAGCCCCACAAAAAAAAGTGGTCGGTGCCTAAAACCGGACAAGTATATTCTTATATATTTTGATCCGCTGAATCCGAATCCAAAATTGGACAATTGCTAGCTTTATCGTCCCTAATCTCAAAAAACTGATCATAACTTCACTTAACTAAATTAAGCTGTATATGGTTGAATTCAGCTTAAAAAATGCTACAATTCTTGTCAGTACAAAAATTTTCAATTTGCAAAAATAAAGATGGAGGGAAAGGGATATAAAAAATATAATATTTTTTTAGAAATCTAACTACACAGTAGTAAGGAGCGTCAAAAATCATACAACTTTTATCTGAAACATTTTTTGTATCTTTTATAGTTTTTGAAATATACTCTCTGAAAACCAGATATACCGATATACTTTGTAAGGGTGATTTTAACCTCTAAATATGAAATTGGGCACATATAAACAAAATACGTGTCTCTTATTTTTAACTACTCCACAATATATAATATATATTATATGACGTAGCTGCGGCGAGATAAAACAACGAATAGCGGCGCGTTATCTTTCCCCTCGCCGCACACCGGCAACAGTTGCTTGAGCGACTGGCCCGCGCAGTGGCCTAAGCAGTTGCGACGCTTCTCCAATCATCTATATCGGCGCGCTCCCACTCCTCAGACTTCTGTCATTAATAACTCGATAATTATTGCGAATTTTGCAAAACAGTATGGGACTTTTATGTTTGTCTTAACCCAATCTACTTCCACACTTCGGCTTAGGAGCT